CTAGCCACGAGTCTCAGAGGCACTAAAAAAACGTCCTGTAATCGTGTTCATTGGAAAACAAAACAAATCACTAATAAATTTATGAAAACAGCTCCCTTTTGAATCGATCTAAACGTACTCTTTTAATTTGCGTACCAAAAACCAATAATTTCTCTTTTTACGCTATTAATTCGTGCACTTGAAAAAATAATTATTTTTACTACCGCGAATTAATCAAGTTTTTACGGTACATGTGGGACCACTCTCAGATTTGTTCATTTCATGATGATATCTTCAATTCTCTAATTTTGATGAATATTTTTATCATTTTTGCTAAAAAGTGATATTTTCGACTTCTTGTTAAAAACCACAATCATTTATGTTGAAAAATGATATTTTTGAATTTTTGTTGAAAACAGCAAGTCCCATTGCATTGATACTATGCATATTGTTCATTTTCTAATGATATCTTCTGTTCTTTAATTGAAATGTGCAGTGCTAACAGCGGAGCTATCTCAGCCGAGAGGCTGCTTGTTATTGTCCTTGCTGGTTTTCACAAGCAATAAGAAAATTAATAATAATACCTAACAAAATTTGAATGAAAAAGACACCACTGTTCAAAATCAATTTACACTCTTCACTTATAAAAATTTCAGCCTTGCTGCAGTGTTGCGGCATCTGTCGTAGAGCTGCTGCAGCCATGCTCTGCAGTCCTTGCTGCACAGTGCTGCTGCAATCATGCTCTGCAGTCCTTGCTGCACAGTGCTGCTGCAGCCATGCTCTGCAGTCCTTGCTGCACAGTGCTGCTGCAGCCATGCTTTGCAGTCCTTGCTGCACAGTGTTGCTGCAGCCATGCTCTGCAGTCCTTGCTGCTTAGTGTTGCTGCAACCATGCTCTGCAGTCCTTGCTGCTTAGTGTTGCTACAGCCATGCTCTGCAGTCCTTGCTGCACAGTGTTGCTGCAACCATGCTCTGCAGTCCTTGCTGCAGTGTTGCTGCAGCCATGCTCTGCAGTCCTTGCTGCACAGTGTTGTTGCAGCCATGCTCTGCAGTCCTTGCTGCAGTGTTGTTGCAGCCATGCTCTGCAGTCCTTGCTGCACAGTGTTGTTGCAGCCATGCTCAGCAGTCCTTGCTGCAGTGTTGTTGCACCCATGCTCTGCAGTCCCTGCTGCACAGTGTTGCTGCAGCCATGCTTTGCAGTCCTTGCTGCAGTGTTGCTGCAGCCATGCTTTGCAGTCCTTGCTGCAGTGTTGCTGCAGCCATGCTCTGCAGTCCTTGCTGCAGTGTTGCTGCAACCATGCTCTGCAGTCCTTGCTTAGTGTTGCTGCAACCATGCTCTGCAGTCCTTGCTGCACAGTGTCGCTGCAACCATGCTCTGCAGTCCTTGCTGCACAGTGTTGCTGCAACCATGCTCTGCAGTCCTTGCTGCAGTGTTGCTGCAGCCATGCTCTGCAGTCCTTGCTGCAGTGTTGCTGCAGCCATGCTCTGCAGTCCTTGCTGCACAGTGTTGCTGCAGCCATGCTCTGCAGTCCTTGCTGTAGTTGCTGCAGCCATGCTCTGCAGTCCCTGCTGCACAGTGTTGCTGCTGCCATGCTCTGCAGTCCTTGCTGCACAGTGTTGCTGCTGCCATGCTCTGCAGTCCTTGCTGCACAGTGTTGCTGCTGCCATGCTCTGCAGTCCTTGCTGCACAGTGTTGCTGCTGCCATGCTCTGCAGTCCTTGCTGCACAGTGTTGCTGCTGCCATGCTCTGCAGTCCTTGCTGCACAGTGTTGCTGCTGCCATGCTCTGCAGTCCTTGCTGCACAGTGTTGCTGCTGCCATGCTCTGCAGTCCTTGCTGCACAGTGTTGCTGCTGCCATGCTCTGCAGTTCCTGCTGCACAGTGTTGCTGCTGCCATGCTCTGCAGTTCCTGCTGCACAGTGTTGCTGCAGCCATGCTCTGCAGTTCCTGCTGCACAGTGTTGCTGCAGCCATGCTCTGCAGTTCCTGCTGCACAGTGTTGCTGCAGCCATGCTCTGCAGTTCCTGCTGCACAGTGTTGCTGCAGCCATGCTCTGCAGTTCCTGCTGCACAGTGTTGCTGCAGCCATGCTCTGCAGTCCTTGCTGCACAGTGTTGCTGCAGCCATGCTCTGCAGTCCTTGCTGCACAGTGTTGCTGCAACCATGCTCTGCAGTCCTTGCTGCACAGTCCTTGCTGCTTAGTGTTGATGCAGCCATGCTCTGCAGTCCTTGCTGCACAGTCCTTGCTGCTTAGTGTTGATGCAGCCATGCTCTGCAGTCCTTGCTGCACAGTCCTTGCTGCTTAGTGTTGATGCAGCCATGCTCTGCAGTCCTTGCTGCAGTCATGCTCTGCAGTCCTTGCTGCAGTGTTGCTGCAACCATGCTCTGCAGTCCTTGCTGCACAGACATGGATGCTGCTACTTCCTGCACAGATTATTACAATCAAGTTTTCAAAACTTGCTGTAAGGATGTCGCTACCACCAAACCACTGGTCCACTTCACAACATTACTATATCTATCCCTACCTAGCTTGAAATAGTACAAAACAATTTCCCTAAAAAACAAACAAACTCCTACTGTGTGATAAGAGTCAAACCAGTTAAGTCAATCAGGTAAAGTGATTATTTCGATCATCCTGATAGTGATCATATACTGAAAATTTCCATATGCAACTCCACAAATAATTTTGGGCATACATTAGTGGTAGCTGCATCTATGCTGCACAGAAATATTTCTGTCTTTAGTTATCCAGTAATGGTAGCTGTGTCTATGCTGCACAGAAATGACAGGGCATGAGAGACATTCCTGCTTTTGGTTATATGGTTACGGTAGCTGTGTCTATGCTGCACAGAATTCATCTGTGCTGTACCAGTGCAGATAGCCGCACCAAGCTGTACTGATTTATAATTATATTCATTACAGTGCTTCGCTGTTTATTTTGGTCTGTTACAGGATGATGGCCTGCTATTAAATGCATTTGTGAAACCCGCCACAGGCTCATGATCTGATCAAAATAAAGCACAACTTGTATAACTGGAACACTATTGCAAATAATAGTTCAAGCTGCGTTTGTAGATACTGATGCTATCTGTGATAGCTTTTTTACTCCCATGTGTGAAGCACAAAATGGGAGTCTTTGCAGTTAGTTTGTCTGTATGTGTGTATGTGTGTCAGACTGTTCCAAGAACCATACATCGGTTTTTGATGAAACTTGGTGCATAGATGCTCTGGGCCAATGCGCAGATTTGATTAGGTTTTGGTAAAAATCCATGCTCGTTAATTACCTAATTTGCATGATAATTAGCTAATTTTTAGCTGTTCTATGACTGTTCCACTGATATCTAAACAACCACTCATTGGATTTTGATGAAACTTGGTACATGGATGCTCTTAACATATGCGCAGATTTGATTAGTTTTTGGTAATAATCCGTGGATACTAATTACCTAATTTGCATAATGATTAGTCAATTTTTGGTTTTTCCACTGATATCTCAAGTACTAATCATCACATTTCAATGAAACTTGGTACATAGATGTCATATGACACTGCACAGACCTGATAGTGTTTATGGTAATATCAGTACATATAATTACCTAATTTGCATAATTAATTAATTTTTAGCTTTTGATATAAGTAGTGAGCATTACATTTCAATGAAACTTGGTACTTACATACTCAAGGACTATGCAGAGATTGATTGTTTCGGATAAATATTTGTGCATATTAATCACCTAATTTGCATAATTAATTTTAAACTTTTCCACGGGTATCTCAAGTACTAATCATCGCATTTCAATGAAACTTGGTACATAGATCCTCTAGGACTATGCAGAGACCTGATTAGTTTCAGGGTAAATAGTTGTGCTTATTAATTACCTAATTTGCATAATTAATTTTCAGCTTTTCTACTGATATCTAAAGTACTAATCATCACATTTCAATGAATCTATAATTATGCAGAGACCCAATTAGTTTTTGGTTAATATTTGTGCATATTAATCACCTAATTTCTCAGGTACTAATCATCACATATCAATGAATGTTTATACATGGATGCTGTAGGACAATAGACAGACCTGGATAATTGTGGGTTAAAATCTGTACATATTAATTACCCAATTTGCATAAGTAGCCAATTTTAAGCTTTCACACTGATATCTAAAGTACTAATTTTCATTTTAATGAAACTTAGTACAAAGATGCTCTAGGACAATGTACAAACCTAATTAGTTTGGGGTAAAACTCTGTTCATATTATTTCCCTAATTAGCGTAATAATTCATAATCTTTTGGTTCTAATCACATTTCAATTAAACTTGGTACATAGAGTTTTTGGTGCATTGCGCAGACCTCATTAGTTTTACAATCAAATCTGTTCATGTTAATTTTCTGATTTGCATAATTAGTTTTCAGCTAAGTAATTTCAAATTATATTTAATGTGTCTCCAATACTCTCAGCACATGGGAGTTCTTTCTAAGCTTTCTTTGATTTTGTTTAGATTGATCCCAGCCACTATTTGGGAATTTATTTCAAAGAAAACTTTCAAAAAGACTGACACAATGAGTCAGTATTGCCTTCCTCACAGAACTGTGATTTAATCCTGGATTCAATCAGAAGAGTGTTGTCACGACAACATGTAGCTACATTTTTTTATTGAAACTACTTGTATTTGTTTCACTCTCAGAAAAATTAAGCAATAATAAAATGGTAAAATCAGAGGTTAAGTGAAACAGTACTGTAGTTGTTTACTACTATAAAAAGTAATACAATACAGATCATATTCAACTTGTATCTATTGTATGCTGGATTATTAAAATGTGACTTGTTACCATAGATACACCTGTCATTCCAGTGTGTGCAAATATAACCGATAATACAGTAATGCAAATGTTTATTTTAATTAATGAGACACATTGTTGCTATACTTGTACATCTGTCATTAGTTCAATAGCTATCATGCAATGTGCTGGCCCAGCTGTACAGCAAATTACATTGACATCACAATTATGTTTTCTTTCACAGCGGTACCAGAGATCGACCCCATCACTGGCAATTTCTTTGCTCATGAAAATAAGACATATGAATTGAAGTGTATAGCAAGTGGAAGTCCTAAACCAAGCATTGTCTGGTCCAGACCAGGTGACATGTTACCGAGTGGTGAATATTTATCACATGGTAGTATATTGGAATTAGTGAACATGAGCAGTTCCCATCGAGGTGTTTATCAATGTGCTGCCAGTAACACTGAGGGCAGTGTTAAAAGGACTGTAGAAATCACAATGGACCGTAAGTAAATTGCTAATCAAAAATTGTAAGCTGTTATATTAAGATCAATTCTATACACCTTTCATTCTATGTGGTGTTTACAACAAAGAAAATGATCATCCAGGGAAAATCGGCATTGGGAAAATCTTTTGAAAGTCTTTGGATTCTTTGAGGTCTGGAAAGTCTGAGTTGTCTTTAAATTACAGGAAAAATAACAAATCTTTGAAAAGTCTTTAAATTTCTTCATAGTTATTATCGTAAAATTCCTAATTGAGGCCACGGCTTTAATTCAAATTTATTTTTTTAATGAGCGACTTCAGATGTGTGAAGTCTTTGTGCGGCTTTAATTAGGGCATTCACTTTGGTAAGAGTGGGAATTTTTTTCAGAAAACAAAGGCCTGAAGGGATAATGATATGCTAATGATATGCACAACACTCGATTGCAACTTTGTTGCAATTCTAAATGGATTTTCACACACAGACAAACTTGTACATAAACAAAAATTCACACTGTACAACATACTACACGATAAATAATAGATTTGCATTTGCAGATTACGGTACTGTGTACTCTCTTGAGTAGAGATAATAATTCGTTAGTACCTTCCATGCTCTAATTTAGACATCTGTGAAGAGTTCAAAGCCTTAATTTCGAAATAGGAGTACATCACAAAACATTGAAAAATTAGTCAATCCAAAAAAATTTTCACATTACAAAAAAAATATATTTAATGTATTATGCATTAATTTTTAAAATTTTGTTGATAACAAAAAGTATATTCTAAAATAATTTCAAATACAAACACGAATGCATTGCTTTGTAGCAAATGATCACGTAACAGTATCACAATCCGGCTGGTAATGTTGCTTTTAATAAGTGAATAACTTACTTATTTTCGAAGTGTCACAATTGATGATTATTACTCAGTAGTGTTTACAATAACGTACAAAAAATAAATTCACTGAATTGTTATGAAATGTACGTAAAATTCAACTTAGTTTCATTGCAAGTGAAAGATTTTGATCACATGTAAACGCTCGATCCGATACGATATGTTTGTCCAAGCACATTCGTGACTTGAAACTGTTTTTTGACCTGATAGGTCAAGTCGCTAATTAACCAATCAAAACGCTGCATGGTGCCAAAGTGTTTGAGTTACCATAGCTCATTTAAATATGTTAATGAAAGTTCAGCGACTTCATGGTGAATGCAACACGGAAGAGATTTACTTCAAAAGATAAGCTGAGCATTGAAGAAAAATGTAACACTTTTCACACAGTTTACCCATTCATGCTACCCACAATAAACATTGCACACTTGAATAGACATCACTGACTACGGAAAACATATATTTGACTCTAGTTAGATTAGATTAGAGATTTACTCTAATCTGGGCATCAGGAAATATTGAAATGTTCGAAAACTGATGCCTTAATTTTAAACTAAATGGTACATCTTTTTCTTAACGGTGTGCTGGCTGTTTGATTTGTGAAAGTTTGGGGTGCGGCTTGTATTGCAGGGTTCTCTTGGGATCAAAACTTGTAAATTTCAACATGAAACAATGTCTCAAGTCAGGGGTGCAGCTTCTATTAAAGCTGCGGCCTCAAATACGATTTTTACAGTAATTCATTTTAGAAATGCTCATTTTTTTCTGCATAGTCTTTTTTTTAATAAAGCGTTTTCCACCCCAGTTCAGACAAGTGTCGGCAGTGATTGCTATCCCGGTGCCCGCCCTTCTACCATGTTGGCCTGAATTAAAGGTCAAAATGTCTTGGAAAAATGCAAGAAAGTTTGGGGAAAGGTCTGGAAAAGTCTTGGAAATCATTTGGCTTTTGGTGCTATGGACCTTGTCACCACATGTATTGACTAGCATGGAAACCATACACCATTCTATATGGTGTTCACAACAAAGAAAATA